AAAGGTAGGGGTTAATGGACAACCAAAGGAAGGATGAAGAAAAATGAAAATGAAACTTACAATCTTCAAATTTTCTCACATTCCCACCTGTAGTTTTATGTCTCAATTGCTGGATCTGTTAGGTTTCAAATCACTGGTGTGGAAACCCATCTTCCTGGGATTACGCAGCGTCAAGAACACTGTTGGCATGAAGGCAATACTAACAGTAAAGCAAGTAGAGGCATTTTTACAAAAGACAGCACTACCCAGATGGATTTTGATAAGGTTGGTATGTACCCCAAGAGGTCATAATTAACCACATTAAAGAAGGAGTGGCTTCTTAAGTAAATGGACTTTATCTTGCCCTCTGCCAAAAAATGTACCAAATGCTCGTACTTTGTTAAAAATTATCTGCAGTTTTGGAACCAAGTCTTCATAGCTTTGAACTGATGAACACGATTGAAGAAATGGTTTTATTACTTACACATTTGGCCTCTCAGTCTTTATTTGGCACCTTGCTTCTCTTATGTCCTCGCTTGGGCACAGCATCTACAATCTACATAAATGAGAAAGTACTGGGTCATGGCTTAATTGGGAACAGAGAGGAGTTATCTGATAAAAACAGAGCTGGAAGAATTTAATTTTTCTAGCTCATAGTAAATTTTCATCCTATCAGCTGGCGTACTGGAGTGAGTAGTTGTTAGAGAATTGAACGTAGGCAAAACTGTGTTAGAATTTAGGTAGGACTCAACCTGGTTTCAGACTGGAATCCTCTGGTGAAGTTTTTGCAGATTGAGCTTGATTTAATTGGCCAACTTTGGAATTAATTAAAAAAAAATAAAACAACAAGCACAAACACCTCTCCAGGTGTCTCTAATGTGTAGCCAGGAGAGTTACTTCTGGGACCGAGCCAGCCTTATAAGAGGTCTTTGGACTACACAGCTTTTAATTAGAGACCATATGGTTCTCTGAAGGAAAAATAGATACTGTTCAAATGTATTCTTCCCTGTGATGTTTGTTTTCAGGTACATTTGAAAAATAATCATAGATGTAAATGAATAGATTGGAATATCCCAAGAATATACTGAACATTTATAATTGTGTTTCAGCCTTGGTACTGTCACTTTACATGCATAAAGCTCTAATATTATATTTCTCTGTGATTAAGACTTACTTCTTAAAAATTTTTTAATGAAGCATTTCATCTTTTATTTCTGCAATATTTATTAAATTATCAATCTTTTTCAAATGCATAATAAAAAATTTGCTTGTCCTTGGCTGTAAGTTTTTTTGCTAACACTGGAGTTTCACTGGGAGTATCTTCCTTAGATTCCTTGCCTGCCTCTCCTTACTGGCAGTGCCACACTTGTTAGACACACTTCTAATGTTTTTCTTAGATTTAATAATGGTGTTGGAGGATATTCTTGCTGTTTTGTGGTTTTTACTCGACTTTTTTCATTTCCAACATTACTTGAGGATATTTTTGTCTATGCTGTTCCCTACTCCACCCCTTTTCAGGGAGTTCTGGACACAGCATTTTAGAATACAGTATAGAGATAAACCGGAATGTGCCTCATCATGCACAATCCACGTCAAAAGATCTGAAAAACATGTTGGGTGATGAGCATTTGAAGGGAATAAAGGCAATTGTACAAAGAAACTATGATGTGAAATTATATGGTAAATGATAACTTCCTTTATACATTTTCTTTTGTAATAAAATGAATTATCCTTTTTCATTAAAGAAAACCCAGATCCTCCAAGGCACTAACCCTGTTCCTTGATATGCAACTTCCTTTAGGTCAGGAATGATACTCATCATTCACCTATGTTGCCAGTGCCTCTGTCCTATTCATGATCGATAGGAGTAATAATTGATCAAAGCATTCTTTCCTGCTTGAATCTGGATGTGGCTTCAGGCAGTCACTACTAATTGATTGGTATTGGTGTTAAAGATGACATTATGTGTAATCCCTACCTTAAAGGTTTCTTGCTAATTACTGCTGCCAGGAGGATAATCCTGCCCTTTAACACCAAGGGGTCTTCATGATCTATATTTAAATAAGTTTCCTGCAATACCCAGACAACAGTTGAGACAAGATCAGAATATTTATTAAGACTCTAATTAAGTCTAAGTTACTAACAATATGGAAACAGAATAATATAAAACTAGATAATGTTGCCTGTTCTTCCCTAACCCATCTTTAGCCTGGGATCCTCTAGCAGGATACCTCTTTGAATGTCTCCTGGTTTTCCTCCATGAGAAAGAGAGAATTTTAAACTCCGAAGCCTTTGGAATAGCTTAGAATCTTCAGGACTTAAAAATTTAGATCCAGCCGGACGCGGTGGCTCACGCCTGTAATCCCAGCACTTTGGGAGGCCGAGACCGGTGGATCACGAGGTCAAGAGATCGAGACCATCCTGGTCAACATGGTGAAACCCAGTCTCTACTAAAAATACAAAAATTAGCTGGGCATGGTCGCACATGCCTGTAGTCCCAGCTACTCGGGAGGCTGAGGCAGGAGAATTGCTTGAACCCAGGAGACGGAGGTTGCGGTGAGCCGAGATCACGCCATTGCACTCCAGCCTGGGTAACAAGAGCAAAACTCGGTCTCAAAAAAAAAAAAAAAAAAAATGTATTTCCGCTCATGGGCTGTGATCAGAAGTATAAAGGCTAAAGCCTGAGATGTGTGGGTGGCTGGCAGGTGTGTGGGGGCTCTGGGACGAGGCACAGTGCATTGGGGGACCCAGGTGCTGGGGGCCTAAGGAGCTGCCAGGACATCTTTGGACTTGTTCTATTGAGCAAAGCAGCAGCTATGTTGCCTGATACAGCCTGGTTCAGACAACAAAGGGCGTCTGGCTTCTGAGCGCAGCGTGGCCCTTGGTCCCTGGGCTTGCCTCCTGTACAGTGGCAGGGCTGGCTCACCTTTCCTGGAGAGTGGGTGGTTCCTGGCGAGAGGTGAAATTTAAACAAAGCCTCATTGCTGTTCCCAGGATTATTGGAGCCCTGTGCGGCCCCACCCTGCCTTGCAGAGCAGGGAACCCCCAACCCTGGGCTGAGGCCAAGCCTTTGGGTGGCAAGACAGGTGGGCTGGGGGCGGGGGCCTGCGACCCCATCCTTGGTGGGCTCCTTTCTGCTTAGCTCTGGCCTGTCCTGGCTTGGGGGCCATTCGCCCGACCATCCTCCTCTCCTTGCTTTAAGTTCACCTGAGCAGGAGCCCAGGAACCTCTAGCCTGCTGCTCTTGGGAGGTCTATGCTGTCACCAGTGTTTCAAGCATTTTCTGTTTCCATCCGAAACAGAAAAGAGTTTGGTTCAATCTGAGAATCACACAAATAAGTGCCTTAGGCATTTGGTTTTTCCCGCTAACCTGTAAGTGGTGGGCCCAGGCCTGTCCTTGAGGGTTTCTTTCCCCCACGCCCCCCAACCCTGTGTCTGAGTGCTTCTTCCATAAAAGGGCCTGTCAGCGTCTCCGGCAGGCGCACAGTGCTCCTCGTCCGCTCGTCCCTGCGGGGTCCCTGTGCCTGAAAACTGAGCCGAATCCTCTTTCAGGAACGCTTTAGATGTTCATGAAAACGCAGCCTTTTGCAGCGACTTTCCTGACCCCTGACCCCTGCGTGGTTAGGGGTGCTGGCGCTGCGCGTTCCACAGCTGGAGACGGGAAAGCCCAGCTGCTGGGTGACTCCCCTGAGCGCCGGGGACTCAGCCCCCTTCTGCCTCCTCAGGGAGCCGCTAAGGAGCTGCAATCTGAGCACCAGGAGGGAGCCTTGAGGCCTGGGATTCGCTCTGGCATCTTAATTATTCGCCTGCAAACAGGCTCTGGCCGCTGAGCCTCAGTTTTGTGGTCTGTAAGAGAGGCGCTGCGACGTCTCCCTCTCAGGGCTTCTGCCAGGATGAAATGAGCCCGCGAGGAGGGGCAGTGGGCATGGGTTGGTTCCCTTCCGTCCCTTCCCTGAGGGGACCCACAACTCCCAGGGTACCCCAAGAGGGTCTTGGGGTGGGGGCCGGCCAAGGCCTATTCGTCCTTCTCTTTCCCCTTCTATCCTCCTGCTCTTCCCCCCTCCTCTTCTTCCCCCTTCTCCCCCTCCCTCTTCCCTTCCCCCTCCTCTACCTCTTCCCCCTGCCCCACCCCTTCCGTCCTTCCTCCTCCCCTCCTCCTCTCCCTTTTCCTCCTGCTCTTTCCCCCTTCCCTCTTTTCCCTCCTCCACCCCCTCTCTCCCTCCCCCTTCTTCTTCTTCTCCCTCCTCCCCCTCCTCCCTCCCTTCCTCTCCTCCTCCTCCCTCCCCCTCCCCTCTCCTCCTTTCACTTACCCTCCCTCTCCTCCCCCCTCCTCCTCTCCCCCTCCTCCCCCCTCACTCTCCATCCTCTTCCCCTCCAGCTTCACCTGGCTCTGCGGACACGTGCACCGAAACATCCTCTCCAAGTTCACTGGCCAGGCGGTGGAGCTGTTTGACGAGGAGTTCCGCCACCTCTACGCCTCCTCCAAGCCCGTGATGGGCCTGAGGTCCCCGCGGCTGGTCGCCCCAGCCCCGCCCCGAGCAGTCCCGGCCAATGGCCGCCTCAGCAGCAGCAGCGGCTCTGCCGGTGACCGCACGTCCTCCAACCCCTTCAGCGGCGGCTCCGCGGGCAGCCACCCCCGGGCCCGAAGTGTGTCCGCGTCTCCAGGGCCCGGCAGCCCCGCGGCCCTGCACCCGCCTCCACCGCCCCGGTTCAAGCCGCACCACAGCCCCTGGGGGGCCCCGAGTCCCCAGGCCCACTTGTCCCCGCGGCCCCACGACGGCCCGCCCGCCGCAGTCTACAGCAACCTGGGCGCCTACAGGCCCCCGCGACTGCAGCTGGAGCAGCTGGGCCTGGTGCCGAGGCTGACCCCCGCCTGGAGGCCCTTCCTGCAGGCCTCCCCTCACTTCTGAGGTCCCTTCCCCCGCTGCCCTCCGCAGGCCCAGGCTGGGCACTCCGGGAGGCCCCAGGACCCACCTCTGCAGCGACGGGTGTTGAGCGCGCTTCCCTTTGAACAGGCACTCAAGGCCGGGCGCGGTGGCTCACGCCTGTAATCCCAGCGCTTTGGGAGGCCGAGGTGGGCGGATCACGAGGTCAGGAGTTGGAGACCAGCCTGGCCAACATAGTGAAACCCCATTTCTACTAAAAATACAAAAATTTTGACTGAACTTCTGATTAAAGAAAAGGAAACAAACAAAATACAAAAATTAGCCAAGCATGGTGGAGTGCGCCTGTAATCTCAGCTACTCCGGAGGCTGAGGCAGGAGAATCGCTTGAACCCGGGAGGTGGAGGTTGCAGTGAGCCGACATCGCGCCATTGCACTCCAGCCTGGGCAATAGGGAGACTCCCTCTAAAAAGGAAAAAAAAGAAAAAAAGAAAGAAAGAAGAAAAGAAAAAGGAAAAGGCACTAAAAATCATTGCCATGATTCAGTGTTCCCAGGCCTCAGGCCATCCACTCGCCGACCCCCACCAGTCCTTGGGTTCCCCTCTGTAGTTTGACCTGTGCAGCACATTCCAGAAGGTTCCAGGGAGGTTGTGGGGCAGCTAGAGAACAAAATCATGAAAACTGAGTCCCTGTCTTCCATCCAGGGCTTTCATAGTAATGGTCCCCAAAACTCTGTAATAAGAAGTGGCAAATGCAGCCCAAGTTTTACAATGGGTAAACTGAGGCACCAAGCGGTAGATGGTAGGTTGGTACTTCTAGTTCCCAGTGCCCAGGAATGGTTCACTCCCAAGAGATTCAGCAAAGAAAGACTGAAGAGAAGGTGTAGGAACGTTCTGAATGTTTCAGGAGAGTAGTGGAAACCTCTCCTTGGAAAGGCTAATACTGGGGTATCCCTGGGCCGGATGAGTTAGGATAAGGCCCCAGAACCCGTATCTGTGAGTTGTATGGGGCTGTCTGAAGCTGTAGCCTCCAGGGATGGAGCCAGCTGAGGAGTGGGGGTTGGGTTGGACAAGGCAGTTTAGTAGACTCAGATTCTTGCTTCAGAGAGCTTTGGCCTGGCCTGGAGGTCCCTGGAGTCTAGGCTGGACCTGGGAGCTTGAGTTGTCAGTGGCCAGGACCCCACCACGGTGCCCATGCCAGTCTTGAGCAGCAGGGAGGACTCAGCTGTCCCCAGATCTAGGTGCCTCTGTCCATCCTGGTCATCTCCTGAAGAATAAATGCTGAGCCTCACAAGCCCCATCATTCATTCTTTCTCAATTCACAGTGCCCCTCTTTGTTCCTGGGATGGTGCTAGGTCCTGAGGGCACAGCGTAGCTGAGTGCAAAGAAATCTAGGATGCTTAGAAAGCCTACAGGAGGGGCCGCTCTCAGTGGCTTACGCCTGTAACCCCAACACTTTGGGAGGCCGAGGTAGGTGGATTACCTGAGGTCAGGAGTTCGAGACCAGCCTGACCAATATGGTGAAACCTCGTCTCTACTAAAAATACAAAAATTAGCTGGGTATGGTGGCGTGTACCTGTAGTCCCAGCTACTAAAGAGGTTGAGACAGGAGAATTGCTTGAACCCAGGAAGCAGAGGTTGCAATGAGCTGAGATTGCACCAGTGCACTCTCAGCACTGGGCGACAAAGCGAGACTCCATCACGGAAAAAAAAAAAAAGTGAAAGAGAACAGAGAGTAGGGGTGGCTGGCCCTGTGGTGGGTGGGACATAGAGGAAACTTCCCAGAGAAAGTGACAGTTAACGCTGCACCTCAGGTGTGACAGCGGGGTCAGTGGGATGTGACCCATGCTGGGGAGTCAGAGGGAAGCAAGTGGCGACTCCCATTTCCAGGCCCTCTCCTGCCACCCACAACTCACCTCAGCAATGTCTTCTCCCTCCTTGGTTTTCAGCTGGGAAGCTCAGCCTGCTCTGTGGAGGGCCGAGAGCACAGCGCCCTTCCTCCTGGTGGCCTCTGACCCTGACAGCCTGTGGCATCCTCCCCGGTCCCGTCTGCCCATCCATCCCTCTGTGCCATTTCTCCTCTGCTCCCAGCATGGTCAGGGGCATCTTGGTTTCTGATTTCTTTTATTATTATTATTAATGATTGTATTTCTGTCCTTCACTTTTTTCCTCCTTAGTTCCTGAAAGTAAACAAAACAAACAAACATACAAAAAACGCTTTGGTCCTGGTAGCTTTCTCAACCCCAGCCCTGACCCTGCTGTTTCGCAGCTGACGGCTGAGATGAGGTTAGAATGATCTGCCCCAGCTGGGCATTCCAAATTGGATTTCACCATCTGCTGAGAAAATTTAAGGAAGGCAAAGCTTGCCAGGTGACAGAAGTTCCCAGGCTCAGCTTTCTAAGGGCCTCAGCCTGTGCCTGTGTCCAGCTCAGTCCTGGCGGACAGGGGAGAGCCAGCGGGTGGGAAGAAGCCCCCCACTCCTGACCACTCTCCATCAGCAGTCTCCCCTCCATGGCGGCCTTTGTTGAGAAGGGTGCAGTTCTCCTGTCCTGGGCACCTGTGATGTGTCACATGCTGCCTGCTGGGAAGTTAGGTGGGGGTTGCCCTGGCAAGTGGAGCATGAGCTGGGGGTTGCTTCTGGGAGAAGCTTTGAGAGCCTGGGTGCAGGCTGCCACATAGAAGCGGCTCTCCAGTGGAAGCCCTCTTCTGCCAGCCCGGGGTCCTAAGCAATAAGCAGAATTCCCCACTCCCACCCCACCACCCCCTACGGATATGTAGTGAGCAAGAAATAAACCTCTGTTGTTTAAGCCGCTGCGATTTGGGGGTTGTTTCTTCCTGCACCGTGATCTAGCTTTACCCGAGCGATACAGCCTCTGAGACGCCCCAACTCCAGGCTGGGCCATTGCTCTGGATTCGCAAGGCCCCCCCACAACCATTTCCACCAGAGGATTAGGGGTGATTTTACACCCCTGGCAATTGTGAGTCTGAATGCCAGAACAAGTCCTTAGCCCACTTTCAAATCCTGTAAAACCTGGTAGTGTTGTGTCTTTAATTCGGCTCCGAGTTATAATCACACCTGTAGGTCCCTCACCGGGGCCTGCTTGCTAGAGTGTCGCTCCGTGTCTTTAAACATATGGAATCTCGGCTGGGCGCAGTGGCTCAGGCCTGTAATTCCAGCACTTTGGGAGGCCGAGGCAGGTGGATCACGAGGTCAGGAGATCAAGACCATCCTGGCCAACACGGTGAAACCCCATCTCTACTAAAAATCCAAAAAATTAGCCAAGCGTGGTGGCACGCGCCTGTAGTCCCAGCTACTCCGGAAGCCGAGGCAGGAGAATCCCTTGAACCCGGGAGGCAGAGGTTGCAGCAAGCCGAGACCGCGCCACTGCACTCCAGCCTGGGCGACAGAGCAAGACTCCATCTAAAAAAAAAAAAAATATATATATATATATATATATATATGTATATATATATGGAGTCTCTACTACAGAGTGAATATCAACGGCCACAGCTTAGCGTCTCCCATGTGCCAGGCACGGTGTCACCTCCGGGACTTGCATCTGTCAGCCACAAATAACTCCCAGGACGAGATCGGGCTGGGAGGGACCTGCACGTGAACAACCACCATGAAGAACGTGAGAGAATGAAAGAAATACTATGATCGTCACGTCCTGGGTCAAGCGCATCTGCAAACCAGGGACTTGGGATCACAGGACCTATCTACAGGACTGTCAGCCAACATGGGTGGAGGTGTGGGTTGCTAATGATCGACCCTGCTCCTCAGAGCCCCTCTCTCCTAGGAATGACCTGCGACTGCCCTTGGTCCTCATCAGATCCTGCTCTCCTGTCTCTCCATGTACATCATAAGAGCCTAGAGGCTACAGATATCTCTGTGGACCCACAGGATGCTACAGCGATGCCACAGACAGTCCCAGCGCACAGGCAATCCTCCCTGATTGGACACTGCTGAGGAGCTTTGCTCCCACAGGGGAGGCGAACACTCAGATACCCCGAGACCACCTTCACTCTGTCCCTCCAGAATGCAGGGGAGGAAGGGCTGCCCCGCCTTCACTTAGTCCCCCTGCTGGCCTGTCATGAAAATGCCAAAGCAGCTTCAAATATTTCAGGTTTGTTGTTGTTGTCTTGCCCAGGCTGGAGTGCAGCGGCACGATCTTGGCTCACTGCAAACACTGCCTCCTGGGTTCAAGTGATTCTCCTGCCTCAGCTTCCCGAGTAGCTGAGATTACAGGTGCTCGCCACCACATGTACTGATTTTTGTATTTTTTGTAGAGACAGGGTTTTGCCATGTTGGCCAGGCTGGTCTCGAACTTCCGATCTCAGGTGATCCACCAGTCTCAGTCTCCCAAAGTGCTGGGGTTACAGGCATGAGCCAGAAGTGAAACTTAGGAGGGGGCAGGAGGGAGGGAGGCCTGTATAGTGCAGCGTGGTAACAAGGGCTGAGGCTCTCGCAGAAGCTTCAGGAAGGAGGTAACATCTGAGTTGGACTTCAGGAGAGGTGAGGGTTTGCAGCAGGCTCGGTGGAGAATGAGAGGTGCCATGTCAGCGTCCGCAGTGGAGGGATAGGGAGAGCAAAGGCAGAGAGGACGTGGAGGCTGGTGGGCCAGGTGAGCAGCAGGAAGGGAGGTGGCAGGGAATGGGGCTGACAGGTGAGCCAGGAAAGTGAGTGACATAATGAGGTGACATTATGAGGCCCCATCTATGCCCTGGTAAGAAGCTTGGCTGTAGTCAGAGGGAAAGCTTGTGAACAGGGAAGTGGCTGGTGTTGGGCCGTACTTTAAAGGGCAAATCTGATTTACTTTCTACACGTTAAACTATCTTTGAGCTTCAAGCGATATGTGTTGTCTGGGCCTAGGAGAGCCCCAGGTACCAGTGCTCACCTGGAAGGTGGAGGTGAACTCAAGACACCCAAGAAGAGGTGCCTTGGGGATCCACACTGGTGGAGAGGGCGTCACCCTTAGCAGCTCCCTTCCATGCTGAACAGAGCTGAGCTCTTTCTTCCCCAAGGCTCTGCCCTCTGGCTGGCATACCGTGCCCATCTTTTGTGTGGCTGGCTCCTTCTCCTTTCTAGGGCTCAGCACTGATGTCTCCCCTCACAAAGACCTTCCCTGGCCCCTGTCACTGCTCCATGT